GGTGGGTGGTTCAAAGGGAAATGTGAATATCAAAGTGAGCTGATACTAGGTTCCCAGGACTGAAAAAGCTGCTAGGGCAGTTTTCTTATGTCGATTTCTAAGCAGTAATGTGACACTGATTTTTCCCAGGATCTTTTTTCAACTTCCCGATCTATCCTACAGCTCTAGAATTTCCTGATGGTCTCCCATCCACTCCCCCGTTTTGGCTCTTCTCAGCCACCTCACTGAGGCTAAACATGTTGAGAGTTTCCCAGTTCAGAATGGAAGGAAAATAGGGCGCCGATTTTCAGCAACTACGATCAGAGTCGGGGGTCGGAGGGGTGGGAAGAGGAGGCCAAAAAGGTGTTTGGGGCAGTATGTGGCCCTGGAAATCAAGTTGCTTGCCCCGTAATAGAATCTGAAACCAGGCAAGTCTGCACAGATACATCCTATACATTTATTATAGGTATATTAAATTGGGGATAAAAACAGATAAGGAATAAATACAGATGTTACAGAAAAAGTCCTGAATGTAGAATCTACATTCCAAGACCTCACATGGTTTCTAGGGGCTCAGCTGCAACCTTCTATGCCCCCTCAATTTTATTTTATTTTATTTTATTTTATTATTTTGTTTTATTTTATTTTATTTTATTTTATTTGTATCAGCAAGAAATCTGCAGCCACTCCATTGCCTCTTTTGGCTTTGTCTTGCACCCCACTTCCACCCCTAGAGATGAGATGTGAAAGAAGAGGATTTATTTGGGAATTTTGCTCATCAACTTAATTTATTTAAACCCAGTTCTCTAATGAGGTATGAGAGGATATTGTTAAAGTAAAGGTTGTACATGTTAATGTTTAACAGTTAATTAATTAAATCGATGAATGGCAAGGCTATTAATATAGAATTCCGTTTATGCTCCTCCCCTAAAAAAATAAAATCAAGACTTCACTTCTGGAGACTCTGTGGACACATTTGTGCTGATTTCTTAACAATAATTAGGAAGCGGCTCGCTGGCGATGTCTTCTGTTTTTGTTGTGTTCTGCTTTGTCTGACTGCTGAATCTAACCTACAGCCTGGGAATCTCCTGGTGGTCTCCCGGCCACACTCTAGCCAGGTCCAATTTTGTTTAATTTACAGAAATCCACCAAGGTCAACCAGGTCAGGGCTGCGAAGGGTATGATTATGGATTGGTAGGCCAGGTTAACAGTGATGTGGCTCTGTGGTTGAATGGAGTGATGTGGCTAGATCTCTCCGATATCTGGCTGTTGTTTTCTTTAGGAACCCACAACACCTGTATTCTCCCACTTCGTAAAACATCTGGGCTCATAGAGAATTTGGAAGCCTTGGTGACCAAAATGGGCCCAAGGAATTCCAGTTTCTGCTGTTCCATCCAGAGATTGATTGATTGATTGACTGATTGATTGAGTCATTCAATCATTCAGTCATTCATTCAATCTTTGAATTGATTTATATGGCCGCTCATCTCGCAAATGTAACTGGATGGCTAACAACACATTAAAATTATAAAGAAGAATATTAGTGGAAAAAAAGACAACAGTGGTCACCAAGAATGAACCAGACAAGACAGATACATCCAGAACCTGGTTCTAATACCTCTTAGCCACCCTACCTAACAGGGTTGTTTTCATAGGATAAAATTGAGGGATATTCTCATGTAATTTGTCTCTGAGAAGAGAATTGATTCAGAGAATCACTCTCTGAAGAAAGAAGGGCCATAAATGCAATGAACAAATGAATAAATGAATACATCTTGCAGACACAGGAATTTTATTATTGGTGAGTGGAGAGTGCCTCGCGATTTATTAAATGTAATATAAGTTGTAATTTGTATTCAGTTATGACGGCTCGGTGCTAAAGTTCTAAATCTAAATGCTCCAAACATAGTTGTTGGGTTCATGTAACATGCTCTATACATACAAATAAACCCTTTCAGAGTTTAACATAATGGCCTGGACTCTTGGTATTTAGAAACGGTGCCACCATGTCACTGGGTTCTTAATGGTTAGCTGATTGAAGCATTAATTTTATGCTTTTGATTTTTTTTATATTGTCTTTTATCATTTTACTTCCTGCTTTGCGTACTTGTTGGATCAGAAAGAAAGAATAAATAACACAATATCTGGGGTCCTACTCTATACTGAATTTTTCTTCCTTTCTTCTTTCCTCTTGCTGTCACAGAGCTCTCAGCAAGTAGCCGGCCCTGTATGGGTTGGGAAGCTAAGCAGGAAGGAAACTGGTTATTAGTTGGATAGGAGACCACCCAGAGATCCTAGGGCTGTAGCCAGCTGACAACTCAGAAAACACCAACCACTTGGATATTGTTGCAGCTTAATGGAACCGGACTTGAAGGAGATTTTTACCTTGATCCTCAATTAGGAAACATGTTTCACACTGATATTCTGACTTCATTGTGCCCTGTTAGTCTTCAGCTCCTTTTCTAGTCGTAATCAGGATGGTTAAAGAATAATACAGAGCTGAACTTCTGACTGTTTGGAGACGTGGTTAGGGAATATTTCTAAGGGAGGATCTAATTCAACTCAGGGCTGTAAGGAATTAATATCTTGATACATGTACAAAAGTACGTGGCAGACCAGTTCATCATGTTTTACCGGGGAGCAGAGATGGGGAGAGGGCTTCAGATCCTTCTCGGCCATCTATAGGGCCAACGCAAGTTTTGGTTAAGCCTCAGCCTCCTTTCACACAATCCAGAAATTGGTGAAGCGCTGTTTTCAAGTGAACATCTTTCTCCCGGATCTGAAAAGAAGTCCTGCCCCTTAATATGACCCTTGTATAAAAGCTCATTGCAAGGGGAGGGGGAAGTTACCCTCTGTACATGTTCAGAAATGCATTTAGATTTCCTTCTTAACAACATGGGGGTTTTGTTCCCAACGTTTTCAACAAGTTCAGTATAATCAACCTCTATCTTACAGTATGTCTTCAGTTCGGTGCTAAGAAACAGGAAGCCTCTTTACGTTCTTATAAAACATTTTTCTGGAGCTGGTGGAGAGAAATACCCTTCCCTTTGAGTGAATGTGTGCATAGCCACCTAATTTATTTATTTGCTGATGTTTAAAATGTCACACTGTTATCCCGTTTCCAAAATACTTTCCCCACAGAGATACAACTGGGACACCATTTATTTTTTGAAAACAGAACCAAAAAATATCCAAAGCAGCTTGCCATTCCCTCTTTACGGGAAGTTTCCTTGACTCCCTAATCCGCCCCATGGCCTTGGGATCTCCTTGTGGCTTCAGATCCACATATTAACTCAGTTCAGTTCGGTTTCTCTTTCTCAGATTCGCCAAAGTTGGCTAGACGCTGCCCCCAGCAGTATTCCACCGACCCTCGAATGCCTTTTAATGACTGGGAAAGAAGAGGAAAGAAAGTGACTTTTAAAAACCAGACAACTGATCCTCCCTTGTTCACTGTGTTCTTTTTCCAAGGACTTTAGCTGACAATATCCATGGAAATAGATTTTGGAAAAATGAAAAAAGGGCAAAGCTTGAGCAGTTTGGCTTAAGATAATATTTACTGGTGAATGTTGTGCATAAGTGTTTCTCAACCTTAGCAACTTTAAGATGTGTGGACTGAAGTCCACACATTTTAAAGCATGCTGGCTGGGCAATTCTGGGAACTGAAGTCCACACAGCTTACAGTTGCTGAGATTGAAAAACATGGTGTATATCATGTACAGGTAGTCCTCGCTTAATGACCACAATAGGGACCAGAGAATTGGTCATTAAGCAGGATGGTCATTAAGCAAGGACTACCTCTATTTTCTTCCCCCAAATTAAAAAAAATGAAAAGGTCCCTCTCTCCCACTTGATTCCTTCACTAAAACAGAGATAGCATAGCATAGCAGAGAAGAGAGAAGGGTTGGGTTTACCTACCCTGGTGAGACACTACAGAATGTGGCTTTGCTGATTACAGTTCATCACAATGCATGCTTTTCAAAGGCATTAGATTACAACCCCCCAAATCTTACAGCTGTTGGCTAGGGAAAAAGATTGCCAATGGGTGTAATGGTTATAGTGCCAAACTGGTACTGAGAAGACCCCAGGACTGGGGTTCGAGTTCCCCTTCAGCCACGGAGGCTCCCTGGGGCACTTTGGGCTAATCATTTTCTCTCAGCCCCAAAGCCAATAAGGGGTAGTGGAGATGATGCTGGACTAGGAGCATGGAGACCTGGGTTCTAATCTTCCCTCAGCCACAGAAGAACCCTCAGGGCCACCCCTTTCTCTCAGCCCAAGGGTCAGTCTGGCCTAGCGGGGAAGGTGCTGGACTAGGAGCGGAGAGGCCCAGGTTCACGTTCAGCTACAGAAACTCCCTGGGGGACTTTGGGCTGGGAGTCTGTCTTAGCCCAACCTACCTCGCAGGATCGTTGTGGGGAAAAATAAGAGGGGATGCTGTTCTTTCCTCTTTGAGCTCCTGTATGGAAGAGCAGGATGTAACTCAAATAAATAAATCAGTGGAGTTGGCCCAACAGATCTGAGGTGCTCCAGGTGGAGAGGGTTGGCAGGTCTCATTGGGTTGGACTCGTGGTTATCCCTCTTCAATTTTTCACTAGAAAAGTGTTCAATCTGAATCAAAACTCCCCCCTGGTCAATTTCACTGTTGGACTGTTTTTTCCCCTTCCTTCCTTCCTTCCTTCCTTCCTTCCTTCCTTCCTTCCTTCCTTCCTTCCTTCCTTCCTTCCTTCCTTCCTTCCTTCCTTCCTT